GTGGAAGAAGGGTCAGGCCACATGGGAAGAATATAGGTGCATTGTCAGAGAATGCAGGGATGCAATGAAGAAGGTCGAGGCCCATCTCGAATCAGAGTTAGCGAGGGAAGTCAGGGACAATAGGCAGGGCTTCTATAAATACATCAGCAGCAAGAGGAAGACGAGGGAAAATGTTAGTGCCTTGCTGAATGAGGAGGGGGCCTTGGTGACAGAGGATGCAGAGAAGGCAGAGGTACTAAAGGRCTTCTTTGCTTCAGTCTTTACTGCTAAGGCCACTCCCCATGAACTTCAGGGCTCAGGTGAAAGAGAGATAAATGGGCAAGAGGAAGACCTTCCATTGGTCGAGGAGGATTGGGTTAGGGATCACTTAGGCAAACTGGCCACCCATAAATCTATGGGCCCAGATGGGATGCACCCAAGAGTGCTGAGGGAATTGGCAGGGGTTATTGCTCAGCCGCTCTCCATCGTCTTTGAAATATCRTGGAGAGCGGGTGAGGTGCCAGAGGACTGGAAGAAATCAACATCACTCCAGTCTTCAAAAAGGGCAAGAGGGAAGAGCCTGGAAGCTGCAGGCCAGTCAGCTGCATCTCCGTTCCTGGAAAGGTGATGGAGCAGCTCATCCTAGAGAGCATCTCTAGGCATGTGAAGGAGAAGGARGTGATCAGGAGTAGTCAGCATGGATTCACCAAGGGGAAGTCATGTTTGACGAACCTGATAGCCTTCTACGATGGGATGACTCTCTGGATGCATGATGGGAGAGCCGTGGATGTTGTCTACCTTGACTTCAGCAAGGCTTTTGATACCGTCTTCCGTAAAATCCTCACGGGAAAGCTCCAGAAGTGTGGACTGGGCAAGAGCACAGTGAGGTGGAYTGAGAACTGACTGGACGGTAGAGCTCAGGGGGTGGTGATAGATAAAGGGGGCCAAATCCAGTTGAAGACCTGCAGCCAGTGGTGTCTCCCAGAGATTATGCATTGTTAGCCATCCTTAAATAATTGARAAGACTTGCATGAATTTCTGCATGTAAACAACCAAAATGGAGAGTCAAGCTCAATTTTGTACTTACAACTGGAAAATGCACATAAACCACACTATATATTTTGTAAGGAAGCATCAATAATACAGTTAATGTATTTTTATAAATTTGTTCTGTAACGGAGACCAATAATAAAATTAAAATGTTTATTCTTGTTAATGAAACAGGGATGATTATAAAGTTTTAAATAAATCACAGAATTTACAGTAAAAGAAAGAAGCCAGTAATCTAAGTAGTTTTGTGGATCTTTAACTGTCCAATTAAAGTCTTTCTAAGTGGAAAGTAAAATGCCTTTGGTTGTACTGTTTTGTTATTTCCAGATGTCTAATACACTGCAGTGCCACGTCAGTAGAACTCAGGCCATGGAAACCATGGTGTCATCTATTTATATTACTATAGCATCATAAACTGGGTCAAAACATTTGAGTTCATCGGACTGAGATTTACAGATTGAAGATTTGCTCTTGGRCAAAAGAAAACAAAAGGAAGACATGCAGTTTCTTAACATTAGAGATTACATGTCCTTTAAAGACAATTTTTCACTCTGAGCTATGATTCCTGGAATAGATATTAAGTGTAGTTTTAACCAAGCTACTTTATTTGGAACATTCAGTCAGTTTTTGTAAATAAGTTACACCCTATATGTTCCTTTTTATTCAGTTGTAGAAGTAAGCCTGTATACAATAAATAGCTGCTTATTAGACCTAAACCTACAATCACAAAAATTCTATGTATGGTTTGGAAGCATCCGCTGTACCTGTTAAACACAGGACACTAGAAACAGTTTAATGCCCTGAATAGTCTCTATGCTTAACTAAAAAAAAAAAAAAAAGTTTCACAGTTGTCTTAGTTAGACAGAAAATAACCATCCGTCACACGGAGAACATCCTATTTTCATTGCTGCATTTCAGATTAAATCTGTCTCCAAATTAAAATGTCTGCACCAGGCAATCTGCCAGCTAARTTCTCTGCATACAGTCAAATTTAAAACACAAAATGCTCATGTTTCAACATACTCAAGCAGTGATAGACTATGGGATTCCCCTGCTTCTTATAGAAACCTTATTCAAATTCTTTTGCTAGCTCCAGGRAAAAAAAATCATTAAATAYTATAGATTTTTCTTGATTTACTGGTTGTAGATGTCATAGAAGCACGAAGTGTGATAATGGCAGATAGGTAAAATGGCAATACAAGAGGAGAAATAAGTAACAATCTCTATTTTCACATATTGTTTCTAATCTGATAAAGGAATAATCATTGTCCATCTTTTGCTTAAAAATGGCACCTTGAAAAATCACATCTGAATATTTTAAAGGACTTAAAAACTGAGCTGCAATTGCAGTTTGGATATTATCCTGTTTGCACTTAGTTGCAGATTCAAATCTCTCAGAATGCTTAAGATACAAGTCAAGACTGAGGCAAAATGGATGCATTTGAGCTACAAAGCCATCGATTTCTAAGCCATGGAGAACACAATGTCCATCTGTGACCTTGCCTTTAGTGCTTAATGGCATTGAAGCATATGTACAAGGGGTAATGTGTATAAATTAAAACACAGTAAGTTTAATCTCCGTATGAGGAAGAACTACTTTCCTGTGAGGGTGCCAGAGCCCTGGAACAGGCTGCCTGGATAGGTTGTGGAATCTCCTTCTCTGGAGATTTTCCAAACCTGCCTGGCTGCYACCCTGTGCCTTGTGCTCTGGGTGTCCCTGCTCGAGCAGGAGGGTTGGACTAGATGGTATCTAGAGGTCCCTTCCAACCACTCAACCACTCTGTGATTCTGTATTCAATTCAAAAGAGTCTCTGGAATAGTTTGGAAATGTTTTGGAAATGTTTTCATCTTCTAAGGATCAACAAATATTACTCTGGTCCCCATATACTAATATTTACAATTCAATTAATTTCTTGTGTAGGTTTACTCTTTTAAGTTGGATTCAAGATCCAATGTCTGTTTGCAAGAATTAATTTTTTAAGATTTTAAGCCCTTCTCCTCAATGACTTGTTAGTGCCAGATAATCTAATTAAGAAAAGGAGTAGCCAGCATGGATTCACCAAGGGGAAATCCTGCTTGACTAACCTGATSACCTT